AATTTTGATGTATCTCTCCCGAAGCCGTGTAAATAATCTGTCGCACTTTTAATTCTTTATTTTCTTTACTTTCTTTATTTTCCTGTCAAATCGGGTCCTGGTTTAATTTTGGCGATGTGGACCCGCGCCTTTTGTAATAGCTTAGAATTTTTACTTCCCGCAACTTTTTAACTGTTAATCAAGGCATGCAAGAATGAATGACAACAAATAAAAACAAACGATAGATCACCAATAACATGACAAGACAAAATAACTGAATCTGACACACAAATCACACACCACCCCTAGGGTACGCCTCACTGTTGCCTTGCCTTTCGAAAGATGATCGTCGAGTAGAGGATGTCTTAGTAAGTCCTCATGATCCGGGAACCTGGCATGAGGGTAGCTTCTAAGGTGTCTTCCCATTGCTCCGGTGATCACCATGTCCCGAACCTCGAATTGACCCGAACACCTCCAACGGTGGTGCTACCTACCTCTCAATGGTGGGATGGCACTACTTTAAAGGACATTTACACAGACGAATTCCTTAGGGTAGGTAGACGACTCTAGATACTTGCTCTAAATTCAAAACAAAATTCAAAAATACTTTTCACACCGACACCTTTTCAAAAAGCTTTCGAAAGCAAATTTTTCAAACACTCTTGAGGACCGATACAAGAGTCGAACTGGAATTTTCAAAGAAACTTTTTAAAACCCACAGTTGAAAAGCAAACAAACCATTTTGAAAACAAATGAGCAAGTATCTAAGAGCCCATGGATAACCATGGATAGAAAGGGTGCTAATACCTTCCCTTTCTATAACCTACCTCCCGAACCGAGAGCAATCTCTTTAAGGAATTTTTCTGTGCTTTTGTCCTTTCCATTTGGAGAAAATAAAAGACGGTGGCGACTCTTGCTTCCGCGACATTTCACGAACCAGCGTTAAACAGTCAGTTCCAGATCCACCGATCACATAAGCTATTGAATAATAAAAGTTCACTTTCTAATTCCTCTTTTGATTGTTCGGTGTGCAAACTTGCCAAAAGCAAAACTCTTCCCTTTCCATCTAATGTGCATCATACTGATAGATGTTTTGGTCTTATTCGTAGTGACGTTTGGAGCATATCACCTGTATTATCTCATTTGAAACATAAATACTTTGTGACATTTATTGATGACTGGAGTAGATTTACATGGATATATTTTCTCCGCTCTAAATCTGAGGTTTTTAGCATGTTTAAGAAATTTTTGGCATATATTGAGAATCAATTTCATATAGGCATCAAATTTCTACGTATAGATTTTGGTGGGAAGTATTTTTCTCGAGAATTTCATGAGTTTTTGCAAGCAAAAGGTATTATTTCCCAGTGTTCTTGTCGTTATACACCTAAAAAAAAAGGATTTGCTGAGCGGAAGAATTGACACTTACTTGATGTCACCCGCACACTTCTTCTTTAAACTTCTGTTCCATCTCAGTTTTGGGTTGAAGCCTTGTCAACGGCGGTGTACTTGATCAACCGCCTTCCTTCTCAGGTTCTTGACTTTGTTTCCCCTTTCTTTCGTCTAAATAACATAGAACCATATTATCATGATCTTTACACTTTTGGTTGTGTGTGTTTTATTCACTTACCATCTTCTGAACGTCACAAATTGGGTGCCTAATCCATAAGGTGTGCCTTTATGGGTTATGCTCCTACTCAGGAAAGTTTCCTTTGTTATGATGTAACTTCCCAGTGCTTCCCCATCTCTAGGAATGTGGTTTTCTTTGAATATCAATATTTGTTTCCTTCTATTTCCTTGGACTCTCCTGGTTTTGTTTCACTCCCTAATTTTTTTAGAGGTCGCTCGCCCTATATAACGTTTTAAGCCAGGGCATGTCTTTGTTAGAAGAAATCTCCTCTCGACACCTCTCGACACTGAACCATCGCATGATCCTCCACCAATGGAACCACGAAGATCCAACTGTATATCTTATCAACTGAAAAGGTATGAAGATGAATCTATTTCTCTTACTGCCACTTTATCTGATATATCTATTCCTACATGTTATTCACAGGAAGCTAAAGACTCACGGTGGGTAAAGGCAATGCAAGAAGAGTTGCAAGCACTTTAAGAGAATTATACTTGTGATATTGTTCCTTGTCCACCTACTACTAAACCCATTGGTTGCAAATGGGTGTATTATGTAAAAATCAACTCAGATGGATCCCTTGATCGTTTCGAAGCTTGACTTGTTGCCTTAGGCAACAAACAAGAATATGGAGTTGATTACGACAAGACCTTCACACCTGTAGCTAAAATGACTACAACTAGGACTATCATTTCTATTACAACTTCTAAAGGATGGTCCCTTCATCAAATGGATGTGAAGAATGCCTTCCTTCATGGTGTCTTGGCCGAAGATATTTATATGACTCCTCCTCCAGGCTTTTTTTCCTCTTCTGGTGATGTATGCTAACTAAATCGTTCCTTATATGGTTTGCGGCAAGCTCCGCAGAAATGGTTTGAGAAACTTTGATAAAATCTTATTGGATTCTCTTTTACTCGGAATCATTATGATACTTCTTTCACTACTACAAAACGCGCATTCAACAACGCCATGTTCACCATGGTTCTTATCTACACCGTAGTGAAATCTCTAAAATGAGGCGCTGACATATTTATTTTGTTTATTGATTAAAAGATATTTGTATATATTAGCGGTTGATATACCAACTGTGGTGATACAATCAAACTTTCATGGGTTCGAATATCAACACCATAAAACATTTTATGCCTTTAACATTAAGGCGCACCTTTTCTTTTTATTTATTTTAAGACTCACAAATAAAATGGATATCGTTACGGTTGGTAGTTTTAACCGTTGTGAAATAGTTTACCCATATATAAGTTAATTACCTCTCACTTATAGATAGTACCGCCATTTCCTTCACAAGGAAACCCTAGCACCCATTTTTTCCTTCTTCGCCATTAACCGTGAATCTTGTGCTTCATACATTAAGGTATGCTTCTTCTTTCATCTTCTTGTTAGATAGTTCCCCATTATCTCATTTGTTGCATGTTGTTTTTGTTGATTGTACTCCTTTTTTCAGATTCGTCTTCATTACCTTATCAAAGGAAACTTTATCCACCTTGTACTTTGTTACAGTTCCACGACTTCATGTATATTCATTGATGATGTAAGTTGTTAGATAATTTTCATACTTTGTTGACAAATAAGTTTGTTGTTACATGTTGATAACTTTCATGGTTACTGTAGGTCTCAACAAGAACATAATATTTTAGTAAATGAAGAAACAATGGCAGCAGTAAACTTCATCTAGTTTGAGAACCTATGAGAAGAAATATAAGAATTATGAAGTTGTTGTTTAAACTTTTACTCTTTATATTTCTTTTTAATAGCTTCACAAACTAGATGAATTTCCATTATTATTTTTAATAAAAAGGTACGCCCTGAATTATATAGTATGTTATTGTTGTAGTTGAGTTTATTATATTCTATATAGATTATTTGTTTCAATAACCATCACTTAAATTACATTCATTTACATTGATATAGATACTTATAATCTAAAAATTAAGTTATATTTGAAAACCGATTTATACAAATCAATATTTTCCGAATTGCATATGTTTCATCATTCATCGTAAGCTCTTTAACTTATAGAACATGGTATAATGATTTGTCTCCTTCATTACATCGATATCTTCTCATATAGTTTAATTTCAATAACCACAATTTATAGGTTAAGTCTACCTCCTCATCATCACTAATCATCGTAATTATTATGATGATAAGTCATCAAAATAATCACAATGAAAAGTGACGATGATGAGGTAGACTTAGTCAATAAATTGTTGTTATTGAAATTAAGCTAGATGAGAAGATATTGATGCCATGAAGGAGTCACACCATTATACCATATTCTATATGTTAAAGAGCTAGAAATGAATGATGAAACGCATGCAATTCAGAAAATAATGATTTTTTAAGTTGGATTTCAAGAATAGTTTAATTTTCAGATTATATACATCTTCATCAATTTGAATGCTTGTATTTCTTTAGTGAGATGTATGGAAAAACAAGAAATCTATATATCATATAATAAATTCTGGTGACTTTCAACATCAGTTACTTACAGTATCCGTAATCAAATGCAAGTTATATGTCTATATCACAACGGTTGTTAATGATAACCGTTGTGATTAGTAGCACGCGTCTTGCCTTTCTATGACGGTTTCGAGACCGTGGTGGAAAATAACTACTTACAATCACTCGCTACTTAACAACGGTATGACCCGCGTGATGGTATCTCTATTTCAACCGTTGTGAATTGGATTTTCCGTAGTAGTATTTATTTATTCATCACTCGAATGTTGACATTATTCTTTTTCTTATTTATGTTGACGACATGGTCATTACAGGATCTAATCAAGCATCTATTCAGAAACTTAAAGAGTAACTCCAAACTGCCTTTCACATGAAAGATCTAGGTTGACTTCATTACTTCTTGGGCTTGGAGGTTCACTCTAACTTCAAGGGGATTTTTCTCAATCAACACAAATATACTGAAGATTTAATATTTATGACTAACCTTCACTCTGCTGTCCCAATGGATACTCCTCTTGAAATAAATGTTAAATACCATCGTGACGAAGGTGATATGCACATAAATTGAATAACACATCTTAACAAATAACTAAATTGTAACAAAAGTTGATAAAGTAAGTTTATATGCAATAATAATAAGAATATAAAAAGATTAACAATAGTAATAAAAAAGAATTGGAAGGAACAATCATAATTGATAAGGGCATGATGAAGTAGAATACTATAGGTGGAGGTAGTGATGTTATATTGAAAGTGAGAGAGATATGTCGGTAAGACACGTGGTTATGAGGCACAAGTAAAGGGACATAGACTACTATATGTCTATGTCTTGGTTTCAAGGATTAATGCTAAAAAGAGAGTGGACAAATGAGTATGCGTGCTTTCTCAACCCACTAATCCAAAGGACGAAATGTTGTTGACAGTTCATTCAAAGATTGATGGGTTTTTTCTCAACTTTGGCATGGTAGGTATGTGATGTGCACATTCTTAGTACTTATCATCAACATATATGCATGCCATTCTCACAAAAGAGTTCACTCTCTTCCCTACACAATAATGCCTGCAGGAGCTAGTTACTACTGCTTTATTTCTTTTACTGCAAACAAAACGTAAAGGAAACGCCTCTCAATACTCTCCTTTATTCAACTTTTTATTACTCATACATAGAGTCTGCTTCTTCAAGCTAAGTAAGTATTCGGTTCCTTCTTTCACATCACTCTTTTTTCACTTTACTTTTGAAAAACTGCATCTAGAGTGAGGCCATGATGGACAGAAACAAAGGTGTTGAAGCTTATACCAATCACATGGATTGCTACTACTCTACTTCTGATTTTCTTCCATGTAAGAAACATCCTTCGTCTTCTTCTTCTTCTACTTCTGCTGGTGGCGGTATTTGTGCTTACTGTCTTAAGGAGCGTTTGGTGAAGCTTGTGTGTTCAGATTGTGGTGAACAAAGGCTTTCTTCTTGTTCTTGTTCTGATGAGATCACTTCAAATAGAAACTCATGTTCTGTTGAGGTGGGAAGTGTTGGCAGGGTTTCTTTTCTTATTGAGAATGAGAAGAATCAGACAAATTTGATTCAGCATTTGAGTTCTAAGGCCAAGATGAATGAGAAAGAAGAAGAGGTTGTGGTGCTGAGAAGAAGCAGCAGCAGTTGTGTTGATATAAAAAGGCATGGTTTTTGGAGAATTGGGAAATTATTTAGGAAGAACAAGAAGAAGGATTGTGGAACAAGTGTTGTTGGGTTCGATGACAACAAGAGTGAGATGTGGATGGTGAATCATCATCATGGGCATGGGGGTGTATCAAGGTCAAGATCTCTTTGCAGTTTCAGGGGTGGTGCTATATTTGGATCTGAAGATGGTGGTGATTCAGTTTTATCAGGTGCTAGAAGTTCTATTTCTGCAGCTAGAAGTTCTGGTGTGAATGGTGGTTTGATGTTAGAATCTGGTAGGAGAAGTGGTTACAGTGAAGCAGAACCAAGAAGAAGTGATTTCTATTATGAATATGAGAATGGTAGAAAGAGTGGAGTAATGGAAGTTGATGGAAGCTACATAAACAGACGTGTTTTTTCACTTAGAGAGAGTGATTTCAAAGGCATGGATGAATCTAGTTTTATTGACTTGAAGCTTGATTATTCATCAGAATCTAAGCAGCATGATTTCAACAATGCAAAGATGCCTGATAATAATACACTCTCAGGCTCCTCTTTTGGAAGCATAAATGTTGGAGATGGAGGTTCATCTTGTAGGATCACTGTGAATGACAGAGGAATGAAAAGTGGAAGAAGAAAAAGCATCAAGGGTTGGAGATGGATTTTCAAATATCACTCAAGGAAAAGAGATCAAGACCTTATGTTCAAAACCTGAGCAAAAAAAAAAAAAAAGCATCTTCCTATGTAGCTTCATTAGAGTTATAGTTATAGTTTTTGGTTTGAATTGTCTGTAGTAGTTGCTCTAGACATATTATCTTTCTTTGTCTACTAATATTATTTTCAGTAAATCACATTTCTTGGAAAGTCCCATGTCAAAATTGAAGTTTTACTTGTTGCTATCACCTATATGAAAGAAAGTGCCAGGAAACTGAGATGGGGTATTCTTTTTTGACTCTTCCATATGTTTGAACTGTAACCTAGTTTATGGAAGAACAACACATGTTTATTGATAATTATGAGTGTAGAGTTGTCCACAAGAAGCATCATTAGAAAAGTGGACTATTTTCACAACAACCCTATAATGATTTGTTAAAGTTAAAATGCTGAACTACTTGAACCCCATCTACAAAACATCCCAACATCTTTTGCTTTTTCTTTTGCATGCCTGGTCCAATCTCTTCAACATGACAGCTCAGCATCCTACACTAATCCCAAAATCTCTCCCTCTCTCTCTCTATATGCTTTTAGGTTGAAACATTCCAACAAACAATGCTAACCAAAATGGACTCTTTCATTGTGATGTGGGGACCATATTTGAAAAAATCAACAATTTAGTAGTAGTACTGTACTTGGTCATTTGGATTTTTTTTATTTTTCTTCACTAACTTCAGTCAACTTGAGCATTTATACACGTTTTGGTTATATTATTAATCATTGACCATGTCAAAATAAAACTTCATCTCATATATATATATAACTGCATATTCTGATTCATCCATTAAGATCAACATTAAACAAGTTATTCTTGGATATAAAGATAGAAAAAAAATAGAATTTCGAATATGTATGTGACTAGGCCTCTTTCTATGTACAACAAGTCTAAAGAGGCTCTCTCATTGCCTCCACCAGAAGGTCCCAATTCTGGTATTCTGGTCATTCAAGATAATGATTTGGAACCAACCTCTTGTTTTGGCTTGGGAAAGTACCACCAAGTTAAGGGGTTACCTTTCCCTCAAAACATGAACCTTGAGTTGTTCTACCGATCAGGCATTTCACTCAACAGAAATACTCGTTACCATCATGTTGCATTCATTCCTGTTCTTAATCAGCCACTGTCTTCCAATAAATACTATGTGGTGCATCTTCATGGCAAGAAAAGAGGGTAAGTTTTTCTTCCGTGAAATTTTTTTTTGTCTTAACATTCTTTAAACAAAATTATGTATTTAAGTATTTAAGTTTTCGGAGGATCTGTGTAGGTTAACTACAGGTTAAGTGTTACCAATCAAATAGAGGTCATAGTTTAACTCTCACTAATATTTTATAAGGCCTTTTATGACTATGGTTTAAATGTGTTAAATTTTGGCCCATGTGCGCCCGCTATCAAAGACGGCTCTGAACTAATTTGTTTTTTCTTCTGCAGGGAAGCATACATTAACTCCAAGGAGGAAGATGTGGACACATTCTGTTTCTACAATTCTGTTTCTGAAGAACCACTACATCCTCTAGATATCAGTGACACATATCAAGAGTTTGAGATCTATCCTCGAAGAAGCAAAGTTACATTAAGGAGTGGTTTCTCAGCTAAATCTGTTGCTCAAGATGGATACCCTCCAAGGTTTTTAAGTAGAAGGTGGAAAGTGAGTGCTTCAACATCAAGTGATTCAAGTCTTGGAGAAGCATCGGGTGTAAACGACCCCCTCCGTTCAAGCCGACCAGAATTCAGTTTCTCTTTAGCAAACAGATGTTCAGAAAGTGTTGTTGTAGGAAAATGGTATTGTCCCTTTATGTTTATCAAGGAAGGAACTCACAGAACATTGAAAGAAGAAATGAGAAAGTCAATGTTTTATGAGATGACACTAGAGCAAAAATGGGAACAAGTGTTTTCATGTGATAATAATGATGATAAGATGAGAAACACTGTGAATGTTGATGCTGTTGTTCAAAAGGAAGTGGTCGTAATTGCTGGTTGGGAGGCTATGATGGATAATAAGATGGATGTAGCTGAAAGTTTTGTTTGGTTTAATAGTATGAATAATGTTGGAGAAAAGAACAGTGTGGGATTGAGTATGGCAATAATTGATAGAATGAAGTGGGAGCAAGAAAGGGTTGGGTGGCTTGGTGGAAAAGAAAAGGAATTTAGAGTTAACAAAGTGGAAGAATTTGAAGGGACTAATAATGGATGGAAGAAATTTGGATGTTATGTGTTGGTTGAGACTTTTGTATTAAAGAGATTGGATGGGAGCATAGTGTTGACCTATGCTTTCAAACACTATCATCAATTAAGAAGCAAATGGGAATGAATCTTACTGCTATGAGAAAGAAAATAATGCATTTTTTATTTTATTTTGTATGTATCTGTTTGAGATTTGAGATTTTTGTTATAAAGAAATAGTATGCAATCAATGTATGGTATGGACATAGGCTTACAAACACTATCATCAATTAAGTAGAAGACGAGAATGATTGTGTCTGGTACATGCCAAGGGAAAGAAAAGAATACATAGGCTTGTAATATTCATATTCAATTTTGTGTGATCTTCATGATTAAGAAGGGAAAATTTTGATTATACATTCCACTTTTCAGAATTAGATTTTGTTGTGACCTATTAAACAATCTCTTAAACAATTCTATTTGTTGATACATTAGAAACACTTTGGAGAACTTTCTTCTCATCTCTTAAACCTTTTAGAAATTCTCAAAAATGACAAAGATCTCATCCGGATTTTAGACTTTCAACCAATTCAATATATCCACATTTCCATAACTATAAACATATGCTCAGCACTTTTCTCTCGTTCTTTTCAAATTCTACTAAAACCTACTAAAAATATAATTCATATTTTAAATGGAATTTGAGTCATCAATGAACTTCTCACATTATATTTCCGTTTGAATGCAAAGGTAATTTGACTCTAAAACCTTTCTCATTGTACTTTATAAAGTATTCATTCTATTTGTGTCACTAAATTTGTAGGTTTACTTTAGATTGCAAAATTTGAAAATGCATATGATGTGAGTTCAGATTGTACAATCTCAACAAATGACTAATCCCCTAAAATATACTTTCAGATTCTATGATGTTTCTCGAAGCAACTCTACTTTTTAAGTAAATTGGTATGCATTGTTTTAAATATGGACGCCCTCGATGAACCTTCTGTTGTACATGTTGCTTATGTGAAAGTTGACATTGTATCTCAAGTTTTGATACAAAAATTGTCAATGTAAAATTTTACATTGTGCCTCCAGATGCATATAAGATTGATTGTCGCCTACAATTAACTACTAAGAAATTTAATTAATAAGATGGGTTGTTGAAATGTGTTAGAGGTGAAGTAGATGACTTAAGATTTATTATTGTTATTTCAAGTTCATATTCTTGAGGGAAAAATTGAACTTTATTTCTCCAGCTGAAATTTAAAAATTGGGTGTTCTTGACCGGCCACAAGGCCAGTGGAGAGGAAGTCCAATAGTGAAGTAACAAGTTACTACATGAAGAGTAGGTAAATTTTTTTTCTTCGCGTCACAAAGTGACCATCACGAGGATACTATACCAATATTCCAAATCAATCCAACGGTTGTACGCATCCCACACGCATGCAGTTGCCAACCATTTTCCTATTTAAAGATGAAAACATGTCGCTCTTCATGTATTCAAATCCTTCCCATTCGATTTCCATTTTTCACTATCTTACTTACTTGAGCGTTGGAGTGTTAACCTTGCAGGTCAACCTCCTCCCCACTTCCTCAGAAACAATGAACAACTGTAACAGTCCGTAAATCCACTCTTTTGATTCATGAGATCTCTATGATCCATTGATTCTCGATTCAATCGAATCTCTTCTAGAAGAAATCCACATCTCCTTCAACTGACGTGCATAGCTCTGTTCTTCGATCAATTCCTCTGAACTCTAATTCAAAATTTTCATCGTCAAATTTGTAAGTGTTGAACATATGACTTCATACACAAGAGGGAGAAAGTGAATTGTGTAAGTTTGAAAAAGCAATAGTTTAAAACAAAACTACCATTTAAAAGAAAGATTAAAAACATTTAAATAAAAAGATTTTATAGATAGTGTTTATATCGTAGAACTATTAACACTTAAGCGAACAACATAATGAAACGGTTTCAGGCCTTGCTTCACAAGTTTGCTCAGTCAATTGCTCATATGAGTGAAATCAGTTGTATTGGGTAAAAAGTCAACATTGATCAAAATACAGTCAAACTGCAAGATTTTTGGTCAACATCAATATTTTTAAGTCACATTCATCATTTTATTAAGTGTTGATCATAATTCATCAAGAAAACTCAAGATTCATCAAAAGTCAAAAGTTACTAAATTAGGGTTTTCTTAAGGAGTAGTCAACTGAACTTTGACCAAGCACAAATTTCACATGCTTCATCAGAAATTTATCAAACAAAGCCTATCTAGAAGGAAATTAAATTCTATACAACTTAGTCTCTCTAAGCTCAAGGCCAAAAATGCATCATTTGAGAGATATGAGCCAAAACTTTACAAGTCATTTTGAAAGTCAACAAAAAGAGACTTTTTTTGAAGGCAATTTACATCAAGTTAAAGACTTCAAATGAAATTGTAAACAAATTGAAAGTAGTAGGAGACATCTTGAGATTTTCAAAAAGTCCAAGATCACCTTCATATGACAAAAATTGATAGAGTTATGATTGGTTCAAGTTGAGAAAAATTGGAAAAATGCATGAAACTTTCATTGAACAATTTTGAAGTCTTGGACTAATGGGCCAAATTTTTGAGGTTCAAACATGTTCATGACACCTTAGAGGATCTCTAAGTCTATCCATGCATTACTTTAATTTCAATTTTATTTATTTTTTATTTTTATCCAAAATTAAATCAAATAAATATTAAATATATGTATCAGGCATAAAAGGCTTGTGATCTAAATCTTTTGGTGGCCCAAGGTCATGCTAAAAACCTTGTAAACCTATTTTTGAATCAAATCTTAATTGGTTTTGGAAGATCTTAACTTATTTTCAAACAAAATCAAAGATATGATTTCATGAAGTATCCAAGCCCACCATTTGACCTAATCTCCTCCTCTATATAAACACAACAAAGTCAGATGCTAAGGGACACACATGCTGCCTCCAAGAATAAACCCTAGAATTCTAAAAAATTCAAGAAATTAGGGCAAGAACAAAACCTTGTTTTCAGCTATCCTCAATCAAGTTCAAGCATTCCATCATCATCCTGACGCTCCTAGGAAGCTTCCTAAGTCCTTAAGCAATCAAAATTGTGCCCAGAACACCACGTCTCATCTTCACCAGTTTTGGCAACTTTTTCAAATTCAAACGTTTAATTTATGCATTATTAACTAATTGGATGCATCCATATGTGTTCTTATACATCATTAGAACATTTTTAATGCATAATATGTGAGCTTTATTGCAGGAACAAGGATTTTCCATGGTTAGGGCATCCACCGAACTTGCATTCGAATCTCTTGTTTCGCTAACCTTTTTCCCTTTTGAGTCCAGATTTGAATTCAAAAGGAAATTATAAGCAATATAACATCTTTATTTTTTCTATTTAAGGAATTTTGCAGGGTGACCACCGGAGAAGATGGTGGTTTCCACCACCTCTGACCGGTCTTACTTTTGCAAGGGGTGGTCAAGGGCTTGCGTGGCTCATTCCATCTCTCTGATTGACTCATTCAAAAAACAACTGACCCCACCAAGCACGCGTGTTTTTTTTATTTATTTTATGATTTTATTTCATTATTTATTTATTGATGGTAGTGATATGAACGTGAAACAAACATTGGTGTAGTGGTAAGGGAGACTCATGGTAAGCGAATGGACGTGGGTTCAATTCCCCTTTTTGTCAAAATATTTTCTTTATTTCCCAGGTTAACACAGGTTCATTATATGTTGATTGATACTCATTCTCAATACCAAATAAGCAGCTGGCCTGATGGACGAAGCTATCACCTTTGAGCCTAAAGGCGTGGGTTCGATCCCCACCCCATGCATTTTATTTTCTCAGTTTTCTAATTCTTGTTTCTTCATTCCATTTAATTATCTATTTTTCTAATTAACTAATTCACATTAAATCATTAAACCTTAACCAAATTAGGCCTAGGTTTTTCTTAATTAACTAGAATTAGGATTTGGATTTTAATTAATTAATTAATTAGACCTTGGGTTTTAATTAAAATTAATTAGTTTTAAGGTTTTAGCCAAATAACTTTTTTTAATTAATTAGACATTAGGGTTTCTAATTAGGGTTTTAGATTTTTTAATTAACTTAATTAATTAGATATTAGGCTTTAATTATCATCCCTAACCCTAGATTATTTTCTAAAAATACAAAAAAAAACGTTAAAACATTTTTTCTAACATCTTTCCTTATCTCTTATTGTTATTTAAATTCTGAGGCAACTGTATACGTTGCATCTATCGATGTAATAGCCTAGGTTTATCTTCTCGCATCTTTTCCTATTATGTAAGTGCTCAAAGGATGTAATAGCTTATATTTATCTCCTTGCATCTTTTCCTATTATGTAACTGCTCACAGGATGTAATAGCGTATGTTTAATTTTCCGCACGTTATATTTTTAACTATTAGTAATTAGGGTTTGCATAGAAAGACTAACAATTGAACACAGATAACCCTAATCTCAAGATAAAATAACTGAAAACAAACACTCTCCACACTTGCACCTTTAGGGTAACCCCTCTCTTGTTGCCTTATGAATATTGGCCATGTCTCTCGAAAGTAGGGATACTTTAGGAAAAAACCATCGATACAATCATCATAGTCCTTACAATACAAAATATCATAGTCTCTCGATGTCCCTCAAGTTGCCTACGAAAAGATAATCTACTCCCTCTGTGACCCTACAAACAATATGATAATAGTCCCTTCGATACAACTTATAAAGTACGCTTACATGTTTCCTTCTATGACCATACGATGACCCTACGCTTGTCCCTTCACATCCAATAGACAAGATTACCTACCAACTAATGGTATGGATAATATTGTCTCCAAAGGAAAAAGAAAAAAGTAGGAAAGAAAAAAACCTGGTGGGTATGACTCTTGAATGCTTGCTCACAAACAAAACATTTTCTCACATCACACTTTCAAAACAATAAATGTTTTACGAAACACTTTGTATACATTCTTGAGGACTGATATAAGAATTATTACAAAGTCTGTCTTACATTGGCATTTCAAATATTTTTAAATAATTCACACACAAAAAGTAAGTTAGCTAAGCAATCAAGAGCCCGTAGATAATTACGGATGTAAAGGATGCTAA